TACATACGTATTATACCAGTATAATACAATATATTACACTTAATTCTAACTCCCTTTAGCAACTCAAGCGCCTAGTTTCATAATAAAAATTTTATTCACCTGATCTGCATGACATCTCGATCGACTGTTATCGTTATCATTATACGGTACGTATAATAACCTGGTATTTATACCAAATCATATTATACCGGATAATTCCCATCCCTAATTGGCAGCCAATAGTAACATAGTCTATAATAATATAGGCAATCAAAATAAATTCCGGCACATAATGTTATTGAAACACCATGGCGAAAATACTCAAAAAATTTCGCCAGACCGTCTGCGAAATTACTCTGTATTTAATCAAGTCGAATTCTGTATATTAAAGAATATTTTTATTAAAAAAGGAAAGATGGCTATTCACGAGTATAACTTTAATTATTCAACAGACACGCACATAGTCAAACAATCTTAGAGAGGTTAATTAATTATATAATTAAAAAAAGAATTGGTACATTGACAAACGTAGCTATAATTAGTAGTTAACTAAAAAGATAAAAAATTTTAAAGGTATATTAAAAGCAAGATTATAGAAAATTTTAATTATTTGTTTTAAATAAAAACCGTAATTTTAAATGGAAAGAAAAAAAATTCTAAATATTGTAAAAAAAAAGTAAAAATTAAAATTCAGATAAGTGGATCTATTTTTGAATTCTCTTAATTTGTAATTTTAATATATCCTATTTTACTACGTACGAATAATTAAATTTTAAAATAATTTAATTGCATGTACTGCTACTGTCATCATTGCAACGAATAACACCACCTTCATCACCGAAAGAACTTGGTATAGATTTGTCTACTGTACAAGCATCAGCAGTACTCGTGTTGACTTCATGCCGACACATCATTATCTGATTATTATAATACCATGAAACACAATTCTCATCTGCAATACATGAATTACAACAATCTCGCGGAGTAGAAGAAGTAGTAATGTTTACTAATTGATCCGGTAAAACAGAATAAATTATGTTATTCCACCCTGGACTTCCACGACATTCACAACATACCGGAGTTGGTGAACATACCGGAGGTGGAGTTGTTGTTGAAGTTGAGCATTTAGTTTTTTGATTAATAACATGATTAGCATGTTTATTAACATGTTTATTAGCATGTTTGTTAATAAAAACATGTTTATTAGCATGTTTATTAGCATGTTTGTTAATAAAAACATGTTTATTAGCATGTTTATTAGCATGTTTGTTAATAAAAACATGTTTCTTAATGTGAGCATCAATAGTAATAGATAATGTAAGTAAAATTGAAACGAAAACAATTAGAAAAAAATTAGAAGTTTGTCGATTCATTTTGTTTAAAAATTTATTAATTAAAAAGTTAAACAGGGAAATTTTTAGTTTTATACTTATATAGAAAAATTGGGTCCCCCACCACTTTACTATCGGAATAGAGAAAAATTGATTAATAAAATAAATACTTCGTAAGTGAATAATTAGTACAGCCAATCAGAATGGTGAGGTAAATTATATATGCTCTTATATGTAGTGTTCATATTTTGATATAAAATTTATAGCTCAAGAACCAATAATTTTTAATATCATTTATACCGCTAAGTGAATAATTAGTACAGCATGAATTTGTAGTGTTCATATTGTTATGATTTGAAAATCGTAACTTCTCTGATACGGGTAAGACCAAGTATTTGTATGTATTTAGTAATAACTTAGTTAAAGCCCTTTTGCTTAAATCAGTAAGGCTGTATACATATTAGCATGAAGCACGAAGCCTCTTGTGTAAGTAGTAAGTACTAGAAAGGATATACTTTTCCTATTGACTAAAATATATAAAAGCATGGGTTGAACTTTTAATAAACGAGAGACAGAATTAAGACCTCGTAACTAATAAATAAATTCATATGATAAAGTTTAACAATGATCTTACTTTCATTAAAACCCAAATATCATTGATGTTTGAATTAATTTTTTCCGTTTAACCAAGTTAACAGCTGGAGCTAAACTGTACGTATATTTAGATTGCTCTCCTATTCAGTCGTTACAATATTTTGATGTAAAATTTATAGCTCAAGAACCAATAATTTTTAATATCATTTATAACCTAAATCTATCATGTCATTTATTTACAAGTTTATAGCATATATATGACTTTTTTTTTATGCACACACAGGTCGAATCAATGCATATCGGGTATATATCAGAATTTTATATTCCGATATATACCCGATATGCATTGATTCGACCTGTGACAGTCAGTGTTATAAATTCAAAAAATTTTTATTGGCGCAAATACAAAAAAAATATGCACAAAGAAAAAATTTATAACCTAAATCTATCATGTCATTTATTTACCTGTTTATAGCTTTTTTTATGCACACACAGGTGGAATCAATGCATATCGGGATATATCAGAAATTTTATATCCCGATATATACCCGATATGCATTGATTCGACCTGTGACAGTCATTGTTATAAATTCAAAAAATTTTTATTGGCGCAAATACAAAAAAAATATGCACAAAGAAAAAATTTATATGCATGTTATATATACAGGAAGTATTGATAAAAATTTAAATCTATGTACGCTACGCATCACTGTGCATAGTGCATATAAAAAATTTTTTTATTAAAGACAATTTTAAAAAGCTCAAAAGAGAATTACGTACTGTACATTAGGGATGAGAATCGATTCTAAAAACTTAAATCGATGATCGAATAGGTTATAATCGATTTATAATCGATAATCGAATCCTATATATATATTGTTATCACTTATACTAATCTTGAACAGTATCTTAAACCTAATAATTATAAAATAATAGATTTTTATAGTATTAGAATACCATACAAGGTTTTTAAC